TAATATATATGTTGTTTTTCAAATTGAGATCATCTAAAGCAAGAACTTCAGGCAAAGGGTGTTTTTTGAAGCTAGACTGAATTGAATTTTATAAATAGCCAGAGAGAATAAAAACAAAACTAGTGAAGATCTGGGCAAGGGGTTTCTCATTGGGGAAACACCCCTGGTCTAGAGGGAATCTGAGAAAGATCCTGGAACTGATCATTTATTAATGATCTGCTTTACTGCTTCCTTCCACTCTTGGTTTTTAAGCCTTTGTTTTGAATTGCACATTCCTTTTGAGGAGCCGAGAAAGCCATAGACCTTTCTAGAAAACACAAATACCTTCAGATTAGGAATTCCTGATCTTTTATGTCCGGAAGCGCTGCAGCAGACACAGGCACCCCTACCCAGCAGGCTCCTTGTTTTGTTCTGTTAACCTTGCCCTTGAACCAGGAGACCAGCACAGAAACAAGCAGTCACTCACAGCACAGAACTCCTGGGTCAGCAGACCGCGTGTTGTTGGTGGAAATGAGGTCAGATTCCCTTTGTCCTCCTTCTCTTTGAGATCTCGTCCTGTTGTTCTCCTCTCAGAATTCTCCTCATTTTCTTCAAGAGATGTCTGCTGAACTATCTGGTTGGTTCCCTTTCCTGTGACTTTTGTTCAAGCGGCTTTATTTTCTTTGCTTCCATCTAGGACAGATGTGCCATTGCCCGTTTAAAAAAATCTTTTCCAAGAATTGTATTCCTTTGATCCTCCATCTCTTTCATATTCAAATCGAAGGTTTTTATAAAACTTGTTAATATATTTATCATCATCATTATTGATCATCATCATAGCTGTTACTACTTACTACTACTGCAGCCATTTATTGAGAGACTTTGCCAGGTGCAGTGTTAGGCTCCTACATGCACTCTCTCAGTCCTGGGAAATAACTATCTCTTTTTAAAGCAGATAAACTGAGGATCAAAGAGCTCAGTAACTTGCCGGAAGCGCCATAGCCAGGAAGTGGTAGGTGGGATTTGAATCCAGGTGGGTCACTTTGACACCAGAGCCACACTCTTACACTATCGATTCAGGGAGTCATTTGGAGTTTAGTCATTCAGATGACCTCTTGTATGGTGGATGAACGGTTGTGGGGCCGGTAATGGTAATGATTATTGAACGCTAATCATGTGCTTTAGATGGATGGTACTTTTTCTTCACAACCACCTCACACAGCAGAGGCTGTGGTCCCCTGCTAAGATGGAGGATGTAAGGCTCATCATCTCCCCTCTTGGTAACTCAGCAGGCAAGTATTGAATACATCCAACTTTGAAACAATATTTTCTACAGCGAAGTTACCTTAAACTGAAGTGTGTGAAATGTAGCAGAGTTCCTAAACAGTTGTGTTTATGCTAATAAACAGCCCAGGAAGTGTGACGGGAGGGGAGAGTGCTTTAAGGACAAACTGAAGCATGTCCAGGTGAGAGGGGTTCGCTGAGAAACCAGAGGCAAACTGAGCTGAAAAGCGCCAGTCATAACTGTACAAGACGAGTCATCATCGGTCAAATGAGACGCTCATTTCTCAGCATAATAAACATTATGTTTGAAACCGACAGCCAACATCATGATTAACCTTGAAACACTAAGTATGTTGAATAAAGTTAAGAACAAAACAGAGAACACCTCTACCATAGCTACTAAGAAGTTATACTTGAGTAAAACCCACATTCTTTCCCCTGACTCCTGGGCACATACATCCACCCTGTTTCTACATCATCAGTGTCTCCTGCTGTTCTCTGCCTTGCTGGTTAGTTACATCAAATCCTACACACAGGCTGCTGGTTCCTAGAATTTAACAAGCTTTTTCCTGCTTTGGGGCTTTAAAAAAAAACAAAAACATTTTTATTGATTTCAGAGAGAAAGGGAGAGGGGGGGAGAGAGAGAGAAACATCATTGATGAGACAGAATCATCAATCGGCTGCCTCCTGCAGACCCCCTACTGAGGATCAAGCCCGCAACCCTGGCATGTGCCCTGACCGGGAATCAAACTGTGACCTCCTGGTTCATAGGTTGACCCTCAATCACTGAGCCACGCCACGCTGGCAGGGCTTTCGTGTTTGTCTTTCCATCTGCCCGAACACTCTGCCCCCAGCTCTTCACTTGCTAGTTCCGGCTCATCTTTCAGGAAGCTCTTCCCAGATCCTCATCCTTTGTAGCATTCCTCACATTCTGTAATCATCTTATTTTTCTTGCTTATTTTCTGTCTCTTCTCCTAAACGTGAGCTCCATAAGGACATGCATTTTTTTTCACAGCTACCTCTCTAGCACTGAGAAGAATGCTCACATTCTGTAATCATCTTATTTTTCTTGCTTATTTCCTGTCTCTTCTCCTAAACTTGAGCTCCATAAGGACATGCATTTTTTTTTCACAGCTACCTCTCTAGCACTGAGAAAAATCCCCTACACGTAGAAGTAAACTTGTAAATATTTGTGGAGTGAGTGAATAAAAATTATTAACCTTATCTAGGTACCAGTGGTAGCCAGGTAGAAAATAGAATGGTGATAAAAGGACATTAATGACAGGAACAAAAAATATTTTCAAAGAGCCTAGGAGTAAACTTAACAAAACATGCGTAGGACCTGTATTCAAAGGCACTTACTATGCTAGGCACTACGATTTTAAAGATGAATAAGATAAATGGTCCTTGCTTGTTATGAACTTAGAAAAATACAAAGTTACCTGAGAGACAGAGGTGAAAACATCATTTCTCCTAAAAATAGCATACATGTTAATATTCAAAATTCCACCTGTTTATTTGTGGGAGCAGGAGATGGGGGAGACATAGCAGAACAAAATTATTTGAAGTTTATCTGACAAAACAAACCCCGGAGACGACTTGGTTTGTGTGCTTTTTTAAGAAGAAAAATGATATGTACTTTGATTAGTCATATTTCAAAACAACTGCAATATGGTACCAGCTTTGGAATAAGCCATATGTGTAAGAAGTGCATATAAGATAAATATAACATTTCATATCACTGGAGAATTAATGTCTTTGTGAACCATTGATATTGGGATATAGGTTGAGTCATTTGGGGGGAAATTAGTTTAAATCTTTACCTCCAACCATAAATTATTTTTTCAGGTTGATTAAAGATTTAGTTATAAATAAGAATATAGCATGGCTGGTGTTGCTCAGTGGTTGAGCATCAACCCATGAACCAGGAGGTCACGGTTTGATTCTCGGTCAGGGCACATGCCCAGGTTGCAGGCTCCATCCCCAGTGGCGGGTGTACAGGAGGCAGCCGATCAGTGATTCTCTTTTATCATTGATGTTTCCCTCTCTCTTCCTTCCTCTCTGAAATCAAGAAAAATATATTTTTTTTAAAAATGAGAATATAGATGGATGTAATCTTGGTGCAGAAAAGGCCTTACAAGAAAGGTTATCAATTTGAGTACCTAAGATTTAAAACTTCTACATGGCAAAACAAAGAAGGGGTTGAATTTTAATATAACAACAGGTGGTGATTAATATATTCTCATAAAGTAATAAGTAGGTTATATCTAGAATTATTGAATCTTGGAGCTAGAAAGGATCTAATCCAATTCCTACACTTTACAGATGGTGGTGCTGATGCCCAGAAAAGATAATTGCCTTACTCAAAGCCATACAGCTAGTTGGTCACCCCCTCTGTGGTTGAGATTGGGGGATCTGGGTACAGAGAGTTAGGAAGATAATGCAACCAGTAAACCTACTGAAAAATTTAAGTTGTGGATAGTTCATAGTACAACCAAGAAAGGGTCAAAGTTTGTTGGAACAAAACAGATTTTTCATGCCTTAGATAAGACAGGAATCTTAGTTGGCAATGTGTCAAATAACATTTTTGAGTTTGGTTTTTTAAAAATAATCTAGCCCTACCCGGTTTGGCTCAATGGATAGAGTATCGGCCTGCGGACTGAAGGGTCCCAGGTTCGATTCTGGTCAAGGGCATGTACCTTGGTTGTGGGCACATCCCCAATGGGGGGTGTGCAGGAGGCAGCTGATCGATGTTTCTAACTCTCTATCCCTCTCCCTTCCTTTCTGTAAAAAATAAATAAAAAATATATTTAAAAAAATAATAATCTAATTCTATATTAAATTTTACATACTTATTTAAATTGAGATTTTGATTGTCAAGGTAGGTTTGCTTTGATTATATCCTAGGGAGCCTTAAACATTTGAGCAGAGAGACCCCAATTCAGGAGTCACTGCATGCTAGCAGCCTTTACCTGACTTTCAAGCTTAGCACTGAGTAGATATAAGCAAAATATGCCAGCCTTGTTTGAACATATACATCATATAAAGTGATGGCATTTGTCTCACCTCCTTCATAACAAAAATCAGACTTTGTTCAGTTTCTCTACAAATTGTGTACTGGCCATGTATCAACATAACACAAGGCTATGAAGATTCAAAAGAAGCAACACAAATACATAAACACATACGTACAAGTAAACAAATGCGCAGTCTCTGTGAAGGTGTGAGCTGAGAGGTGCACGGTGCTGTGTCCTGGTACCCGGGAGAGAACCATCATTCACCTGCGATGAGGGATGAGCTCAGAAAGCTTCGGCTGGTTTAGGAAACGAATGTCAGTAATCGGTGGGCATCCCCGAGTTCACTCAGTTCCTTCAGATTAAATTACCTTCATTTCATTGTCTTAGGAATTCCATCTCCAGTGCTGGGTACGTTTCTGGTGCTAAGGGATTTCTTTGCGAGCGTTCTAATAAATTTCACTTCCATGCCAGAACCCTTGTGCCAAGAACAAAAAGTGCTGTGAGCATTTTCCTGTGGCCCCTTACCAAAAAATATTTGGGTTAATTTAATACCATTTCAAAACAATAACTTTCTAACTACTGCTGATCGATTTTTTTCCTTTACTTATTTTTTTTTTTTATTTTCTAATTCTTGTTTCCGCTCAGTTTAATTTGTTGAGTGTAATTTTGGAATGTGAACTGTGCTTCCTTCAAGGCGGCCTGTGTTACTGTCTCTTCCAGGGGCGAGTCGGGTGCCGGGAAGACGGAGAACACTAAGAAGGTCATCCAGTACCTTGCTCACGTCGCTTCCTCACACAAAGGACGCAAGGACCATAATATTCCTGTAAGTTCTTGCTCTGTGGCTGGTGTTTTACATCTCAGATTTATTCTTTCATAATTTCAGAAACACCGAGGCAGCGGGTCCACCCAATGTGCTGCTCTCTGACAGCGCCCTTGTCCCCCCTCCCCACCCAGCACCTCCCTCCTTCACTTAAAAGGGAGCCGATGATCAGGAAATGGCTGTCAATCATGGCTGTGGCTTGAAGCCTCATTTCTTGCAAAGATTTGGTGAGAATTGTTAAAAACTGGTGAGCAGTGCCTTTGAAGACTTATTTTCCACCAAAAGAAGAGCCCCAAATATTTTTAGCAGTTCTTTCTGAACTTTGCAAAGCAGCCAGTTGCTACTGCCCACAGCAGCTTGAGGGGAGGCTAGAAATTTGGGAAGAATTGGAGATAGAAAAGGAATAAGGATATAAATGTCCTTTATCCTTACTTTGTAGATTGCAAAACTGTTAGTTAATGTGGCCTGAAAGAATGCCAGCCCTCCCAGTTCTAACTGCAGGGACTGGGCGCTGTGGAGGTGGCTTACTGCTCTAGGGGAGAACCACTCTTGCTAACATTTGCATTTGTCTGTTTGTAACGAGCAGCAGGAATCGCCTAAACCCGTGAAACACCAGGCAAGTGCTTTTCTTTATGCTTCTTAGTCTTGAGTGTGCGCACTAATTTCTGTCTTTAGATTGAGTCTCTACTAGAAACAATACTGTTAGTTCTGAGTGAAATCTATTATAAAGAACATTTTGATTTTGAAAATTTCTTGCTTAGAGGCTTGTTCTTTTCATCAGAAGCAGCATGCCGTTTTGCTTTAAATTTGTTTTCTAGATGAATTTTAGTAATTACTCTTTTATCATGACATTGAATCGCACATTTATGAAGCCTATAACCTCAGGGTTTCATATGCCAAGTACTAGGTGGAATTATATTAATGCTTCTTCAACACATGGAAGCCTGGCCTTGTGCCATATATTAAATTTTGAATCTGGGGCTGCAGCTTTAAATTTCAAATCTGTTAAAATTTTATGGCCATATCTGTTTTAACCTAAAGGTCTGCTTATATTTTATAAAATTAGAATTTTCTGTCTGTGGCATGTCTTGGAGGAGTGTTGATCTTCCCAGCTCTCAGATGCCACCTCTTTAGCTCCACAGAGCAGAGCAGTGAACACACTGCGAACCCGAGCACTTGCTGCCCCGGGGATGAGGGGCGGGCAGAGCCGAGCCGGGGCCTCAGGCAGAATGGGCCATCCATCCTCGGTCGGAACCCTTCCTAGCATGGGAATGGTCTTGATTTGTCTGTCTCCCCCAAACATAATGCTACAAAGCTCATATAAAGCAAGAAAGGGTATCGAGTTATGAAAATCAACTATTACTATAAAGAAACCGTCACAAGTTTCTATTGTAAATAGAACAGAATAGAAATAAAGGAATAGTCACAGGTACTAAGATTTTCAGATGTCTTCCTTAAAAATGTAAGAAATTCTCACATCCAGAGCTGTACTATACCTCTGAAGGCCTATGGTGCCTTTCAGCTCTCTTAGCTGCAGACCAGACCATTCAGACAAATTGGAGGGTTAATGAAATGATCATCATCCTATAGGATATTTAAAGAAGGAACCACTAGACCAGAAACCAGCTTTTGTCCTTTTAATAGGTACTTAGATCCCTACTTAAACGAAGTACAGATTTAGGTTTTCCAGCCCTCTATGGAAAACATAAGTCACGGTTGTTTGCATTTTGTTTCGATGTCATTTTAAACTACCGAGTGGATCCCTGTTGTATGTGAGTAGCATGCCTCCCCTCAGATTTAACTTTGGGTCAAATCAATCCCTGGGTAGCAAGTTCTCCCAAAGAAGGCAACCGCTTCTCTAGGCCGCGCTTCGCTGTCTTCGTTGATTTGCATGTCTTCCTGCATGGATTTCCTGTGCACCGCATCGTCAAGGCTGCTTTTCCCAAGTTACTTCATAATAGTCTAGTCGAGGAGTAGCTGCGATTATGTTTTTAGAAACATGAGAACACTGGTTCTCTATTAATTTTTCTTCCCCAGCACACTTAAGGGATATGAGCTACTCGTGAGTAGTAGGGAATGCGCACACCCTGGAGAGGGTCCTAGCAAGTAATTACTTCTCAGTCCACGCTCCCTTCCCCCTCCGGGGGTGCCCCTAGTTGTGATTTCCATGCCCCATTTTGAGGGTGACTGCCATAAAGTAACAATTATAATGTTGAAAGTCTAGACTTCTCAAGTCAGTGTTTCTTTTGGCTTGATATCACTGGTTTGTTAATTTACATTGATGAACTTCATAGGCAAAACTTAAGTTCCCAGAAACCATTTGTATAAATTTCTAGCATATTATCATTAGTATGATTTCTAAGCTCCTGATTTTGTGAGTCTATTATTATTTGTCTATTTGCTTATTCTTAAAAATCAGCTTTATTTATTGAGGTTTAATTCATGTACCATAGCATTCACTCATTTAAAGTATACTCTTCAGTTTTTTAAAGGATATGTAATCATCACTGCAGTTAATTTTAGAACATTTTCATCGCTCCAAAATGAAGCTCCGTACCTATTCGGAGTCACCTTCCATTTCCTCCCAGTCCCTGGAAATCACTAAAATACTTTGTCTCAAAGAATTTGCCTGTTCTGGATATTTTATATGAATGGAATCCTATAATATGTGGTTCTCTGTGACTGTTCTTTCACATAATGTTTTCCAGGTTCATTCGTGCTGTAGCATGTACAAATATTCCAGTCCTTTTTATGGCTGAATAAAATTCCGTGATATTAAATATGTCGCATTTCGTTAATCCATTCATCAGTTGATGGACATTGGGGTTGTTTCCATTTGGGGGCCATGACGAATAATGCTGCACTGAGCATTTGCAGACAAGTTTTGTGTGGACATAGGTTTTCAGTTCTCTTGGGTGTATGCCTAGGAGTGGAATTGGTGAGTTGTGGTAACTTTCTGTTTAACATTTTGAGGAACTGCCAAACTATTTTTCAAAGTGACTGTACCATTTTTGTACATTTTCACCAGCAGTTTAGGAGGGTGCCAGTTTCTCTGTCCTCACCAACACTGTCAATGTCTTTATTGTAGCCATTCTGGCAGTGCAAAGTGATCTGTCCTTTTTATATGTGCCTTTGAAACTTACGGAAACATGAACAAATACATGACGTCAATTTTTAAAATTGAGCTCACAATATTTAAATAAACGTTAAACATTTGCCTATAAACTTTTGATATAGTTTTTATAATAAAATTACATCTTATTTGGCTTTGCCCCCCAGCCAACTGAAAGTACGGTTTCCACCCCCTCTTCCCTCGACATCGGTCGCTGTCATAGGCCTCAGAGCCTGCACGGTGTTCAGTGCCACACCAGAGGCGGAGCTCAGCTCAGTTTCAGAGAAGGTTTAAAACAACCAGTTTCTAAAACTTGACCATTCCCTAAGAGCGATCCATCCAGCCCGCTCACCTGCCCCAAAGCCAGGCAGCATCTCAGGCTACCATTATATTTACTGGTCTAAACGGCCTTGAACTATAAGACACAAGGTGATAGCAAGTACAGCGATCCATCCAGCCCGCTCACCTGCCCCAAAGCCAGGCACATCTCAGGCTACCATTGTATTTACTGGTCTAAACGGCCTTGAACTATAGGACACAAGGTGATAGCAAGTACAGAAATTAGACCTGCCAGTTGTGATTAGAGTCTGTTTCTCAACATTGTGACTAGCTGCTGCCACCTCGTTTCGTCCCTCCTCCTGTGGTCAGTGCGACACCACGCCTCTGCCCTCACAGCCTGCAGGTGCAGGATGGTCTCAGCTGAGTCCCCTTGTTGGCTGAACTGAAATTTTGAAAGGGGTATATAGTTTTACCGATTTAAAGTCATCCTCTAACTATCATATAGCAAGTTTATTATACACTGTGTAATAAACAGGGTTTTCATCACCATTGGTAAATCTTTAAACCATACAATTCTAAATACCTAGAATTTAAAAAATAATGTCAATAGCTAATGCGGCTGTTTTCCACATTTCCAAACGCCACTTCTCCTTATATTGGATAGAAATAAGGGTCACTGCCCGTCCAGTTCTAGCAGAAGGGGTAACAGCTAGTCACTGCCCCGATGGTTTACCAGTGGCTTTGTCATTTGGTTGAGAGATCTTGGCACTGTTTAAATATGAAATTGTTCAACAGAAATGATCAAATTTAGTGGTAACTTCCTTAATGTAAGACCATTTTTGTATGTTTCGTGTCAGGTTTTTTTGTGATTCATTGATGAGTTTTTGAGGCCTTTGCCCGGACTCACTGAAGCCACAAATCCATCAGATCAGAAGTAATACCACAAGGCTATTACGGTAGTGCCCCCAAGAGGGACATGGAAGTGCCAGTGACTACAGCTACTTCCGGGACCCTTACCCAAACCTTGTTACCACCTTTAGCTCATCACCATCCCTTACCCAAATACTACTAGAATGTTCTAGGATCTCTGATTATACATTTACTCAGGAAAAAGTCCCGGTGCATCATTTTGACTCGTTACTGACTGAGCTAGGTGCAGGGAATGCAGTCAATGACTATAAGCCAGCGATTTTCAGCCGGTGTGCCACAAGAATGTTTAAAACATGCAATACCTGACTATATAGTCAGGGGCTCTGAACTCTTTTCCCTTAGGTTATCAAATTTAAAAAATGACAACAGCCAACAGAACAATAGTGGTCCATTGTGAATGAATCAGAATTATACTTTTTGTTGTTGTTCAGGTCAGGGAAAAAATACATGTTTTTTTTGGTGTACTGCAGGATTTTGGTAATTAGTGTATATGTGCATGAGATGAAAAAGGTTGAAAATTGCTGCTATAAGCCAGCAGGAGAGAATCACACACACAAGAAAGGAAAAGAATCAATAAACTTAATCCAAAGAATTCTTGTAGCCATGCCTAGGGAATATTAAAATGGAATATGCAACACTTGTATTACCTCCCAAGTTAGGAAAACATTTTAAAGATGCATTACTTCTTAAAGTATTTTCATTACGGTTTTATTTGGCAGAATAGTGTGTAATTTTGAGGAACCTATTCTAATTCCTTGATCTAACAGATGTTCGCTGTTGTAAAGGTAATGCCTCATTTATGAAAAGCTGGTTTTTTCTAACAGTTTCTATATTCTGGTTACATATTCTGAGTGAGGTCAAAGGATTCTAGAGCCCAAACATCTACTGCAGAGCCAGCATATGAGGGCTTTTGTAGGATGTTAGCCATGGGCACACCGCTGGACGTGACCTCAAGAGAAGGGCACTCTGTTATATCACAGAATGATACTAACAATATTTTAAAATATATTTTAACTGATTTCAGAGAGGAAGGGAAATGGACATAGAAACATCAATGATGAGAGAGAATCTTTGATCAGCTGCCTCCTGCACGCCCCCTACTGGGGATCAAGCTCACAACCTGGGCATGTGCTCTGACCAGGAATAGAACCGTGACCTTCTGGTTCATAGGTTGACGCTCACCCACTGAGCCACACAGGCCAGGCAGATACTAACATTTTTAATGATGACTCTTAGTCATTAAAATTGGCTCAGGATGCCATGTTTAAGAAATTTTGGTAGCATATAATATTTAGAAAGGTTTACATCAGAAATAATCTGGTGTTTTGAAGTTAATAAACTAGATGATTCACTGTACAAAGAGCATATCTTCTAGTGCCAAGAAAGTGTTTCAGTACTTGGTAGCATGAAATTCATGCAGCTTGGGGTTCTGACAAGGACTGGTTCCTGACTGGTCTCAATGGGACACAATCGTAGACTGGTATTAGCACCTGTAAAAGTCTGAACAGTCCAGATAAGTGCTGCAGAGTAGACATAAGGAGCATATCTCCTCACTGTGTCATGTGCCTCAGAAAAACGTCCTCACCCTTTCAGAGTACAGGAGTCCATTTGGTATATATTTGTTCCTGGTTTGGGATTTGATTATTGTATACTTAGTCACATAGCAACTGACCATTACTTAACAAATCTTATGTGAGGTTCCTTATATTCCTTTTTTCCTTGCAGTGGTTCTCAACCTGTGGGTCGCGACCCCTACATATCAGATATTTACATTATGATTCATAACAGTAGCAAAATTGCAGTTATGAAGTAGCAATGAAAATAATTTTATGGTTGGGGGTCACCACAACATGAAGAACTGTATTAAAGGGTTGCGGCAGTAGGAAGGTTGAGAACCACTGCTTAGAGAATCACATTTGCTAGTGGTTGTTTGTTGTTTTTTATTGATTTTTAGAGAGGAAGGAAGAGAGAGAAAAACATCAGTGTAAGAGAGATACATCAATCGGTTGTCTCCGGTACAAACCTGCAACCTAGGTATGTGCCCTGACGAGGAATCGAACCTGTGACTTTCTGGTGCATGGGATGACGCTCCAACTAACTGAGCAACATAGGTCAGGGCTGCTAGTGGTTTTTAGTCCTTTCTTTCATTAGGTCTGGAGTGCTTGTGGGTATTTTAAAATATAGGGGTGAGATTTGTGTTTGGAAAAAGCAGAGTTACTGAAATCATACAATATAATTCTGAAATTACATTCCAGGAATAAGCATAAAAACTTTCTAGAGTTTTTATGGTCAGAAATGACATCATGCTTTCTTATACAGCTTTCTATTGTGTTTCATGATAAAACACATATTAATATACTCACATCTTTTTGTAAAATCTGTTTTATTTGCATATATGAGTAAACATTATCAAAAAACCCACATACATTATATAAAATACTCTATACTTAAGTCTTTCACATTTGAGCAAGAAGTCAATAGTATCACCATCTCTGATCATGGAGATGGATGAGGATATTGCCTGGTCTACATTATTAAAATATTATGTGAATATTGGGGAAAATGGCAAGCTTTATACCAGTAATTATAACATGTAAGTAAAATATTGGGAAAATGGCAAGCTTTATACCAGTAATTATAACGTGTAAGTATTAATATGTTCTTAATTGAAGTGTCATGCTAAATTTTATTTTATGAAAACCAGTTACTTTATTTTTAGAATTCTCTGCCTAATTTATGTGCCCTGTCCTTAAATGTGTCTTCTCTGACCAGTGTGACATTTTCTTCTTTATAGATGCTAACTCTTTTCCTTCAGTGGAGCCTCTTATGACCTAGAATAAGAAGCCAACAAAGGTTGCTGGATGACAAACTAGATGAGAGAACTGAGGGAAAGAGGCAGTTTTTTGTTTTATTTTGTTTTTTCCCCCTGAGGACTGGAGTAAAGACACTAGATTAACACACATCTGCTTTTATTTGTGTGTATGTGTGTATACATGTGTGTATGTGTAATGTCTTTTAGGGGGAACTTGAACGGCAACTTTTGCAAGCCAATCCAATTCTGGAATCGTTTGGAAATGCGAAGACTGTGAAAAATGATAACTCATCTCGTTTTGTAAGTTGAAAGTATCAGAAACTTAATTCCTCAGATTTCTAGTTAAGTGTGTATTATGATTCATTATACAGCAATGTATAGATTTTCAGAAGAGGCTAATCAATATAATATAGAATAGTACTATCAATAGAAATATAATGCAGGTAACCTGTAATTTAAATTTTTCTAGTAGGCACATTTTAAAAAAGCAATTGAAAAATTGTGAAATTAATTGTAATCATATATTCTACATAAATAGATAATTACATATTATTGTATGGATATATAATTCTGTAACCTCTCTGAACTTATTTTTTCATCTTTGATCAGGGATGATATGTAATACCTGTTAGGGGGTTGGCATGGAGACTTAAAGATGTGTGTTTGCTATTTAACACAGCACTGGGCATAATAAATGCTCAACGCATAAGGTTGGTATTCGATGTAGTAAATTATCCTTCTCATATCTTGCTGTTCCCATGTCATGGACTTCAGAATAAGTTGTCATTACTATTATTTCTCTTTAAAAATTCTTCCGTTCACCTCTCTTGATCCATTAAAAGCTTTACTTTCTCCCTCAGTTGGATCAACTGTAACAGTTCACCCTGAGGATATTATCCTAAGGTGGTAGCCAAAATATTAGTATGAGGATCCTGTCCTCCCCATTCCACCTGCTCAGAGTCAACACTTTCATGGCAGATCATCTCTGAACCCATATTCAACAAAGTGGGCGTTCCTTCAGCAAATCTTTTGCCCTGGATTATAGTCATCAAGAGTCCGTAACCCTTTCCACAGTCATTTTGGAGAGGGTCTTCGGCTTCCGTTATATTTCTACTTCAGTGGTTGGAGTTAATTGTTTCTTCTCCCTCTTCCGATATTAGACGTGTTGTAAAAGTCAAGAAGGCCAGGATAAGTGAGGTTTCAATTCGGTGGCTAATTTGGGGGAATCTGAAAACATTGTCACATACTTTTTTATTCTGGGAATGTAAAGCCATGGCCTGCGTGTTAATTTTCTGGTGACATGGTCTCTGCGATCAGTGGAAGTGACCAGACTCAGGGTCACAGAGGACCTGGCAAACACGAAGGCAGCCAGCCAGGTGGCCCTCCGAGTTTGCTAGGGCTGCCATAACACACTGCCACCGACTGGGCGGCTGAAACCACAGGAATTAACTGCCGCACAGTTGGAGGCTAGATTCTGAGATGAAGGGGTTGGCAGGGTTGGTTTCTTCTGAGACCTCTCTCCTTGGCTTGTAGATGGCCATCTTCTCCATGTCTTCACATGGTCTTCCCTCTGTGTGCGTCTGTGGCCTATTTTTCTCTTAAAAGGCCACCCATCATTTGGGATTAGGACCCTCCTGGTGACCTCATTTGAACTTAATTACCTCGGTAAAAACCCAGTCTCCAAGTATCATGTTCTGAGGTGCTGGGAGTTAGGACTTTGGCATATGAACTGGGGGGATGGCACAGTTTAGCCCATAACACCATCAGATATTTTAAGTACAAGGCTTCCAAGTTATGTAAGAAATAAGCATCTATTTGCTTAGAATATTGTTTATTCCGAATCACTTAATCCGCATTCACTTAGTAATTATTTTATTTGTTTATGTACAAAGTGGGACAAGAAATGTGCCTATGGCAGTAGGAAGCCTGGCTGAGACGCTTGGCTATACAAGACATCTGGGGAAACTGAGCTTTGTTTGCAGAGTTTCTGTCATTCCATGGATCATCACCATTGACCCTGAGCCACAATTAAATCTTAAATTCTTCCTACTGAAAGCCCTGTGTTTAGTGGCTGTATCATGGGATAGAAGACACTGAGCTACCAACTTAGGTATGCGATCTCTGTGGAGATTTTCAAGGACTTCTTAGTGGAAAATATTTTATTTTACCACATAAATCCAGTTACCCGTCTGTTCCGATGTTCTCCCCTAAACCACACTTTAAATTCAAGAGAAACAGTTTTGAGCCCATTTGTCTTATTTTTGCTTAGAAAAGATAAATTGCTACGAATCAAAGTCATTTGTGTCCTTGATAAACAATGTAGTGATTCTGTTACTAAGCAGTAAGGGTTCGTATACTTGCTAGGGTTTTTGTGTTTGAGACAGAAGTACAGTTCTGTATTGATGACCTATTGCTATGTAACAAGTTGCCCTAAAACCGAGTGGCTTAAAACATTGATTATTTCAGAGTTTCTGTGTGGTGGGTGGCTCTAGCTCAGGATCTCTCATGAGGTTGTCATTAAGATGTTCTTGGCTAGAGCTGCAGTCATCTGAAGACCTGAGGCTGGAGGATCTTCTTCCAAGCTTACTGTCAGGAGGCCTCACTTCCTCCTGGTGGCTGCTCGGAGTCCCTCGTTCCCCACCTCAAAGGCCTCTCCATAGAGTTGCTTGCTCCTGACGTGGCAGCTGGCATCCCCCCAGAGCAAGGGATCCAAGAAAGAGCAAGACAGAAGCCACACACTGTTTTTTATGACCCCACCTTGGAAGTCACGTACCATCCCTTTGATATATTTTATTGGTCACACATAATGATGTATCAAAAGGTGGGGATTGTTGAACTCATCTTGGAAATAGGCTGCCACAAATCATTAATAAAATAATCGTGCTGACATGTGTGGGTTATAATCTGTAATTTGCATTACTTTAGACCAGTGCTTCTCAATTAGGGTGCCCCCAGGGGACATTTGGTTGGGTCTGGAGACAGTTTGGGTTGTTCAGCTTGGGCAATGGGTAGTGGTGTGCCGCTGGCATCTGGTGGGTAGAGGCCAGGGATGCTGCTAAACACCCCGCAGTGTACAGGACAGGCAACAAATCATCCAGCCCCAGTGTCAGTTATGTTGAGGTTGAGAAACACTGCTCTAGCTTGTTCCTTACTTTTTGAAATTAATTTGCAAAGTAAATACTATACGTGAGTCTCATTATTTATACAATGTTTAATAATTCTGGTAGGAACTTATAAATTCTACTGGTAGAAAGAATGCCTTAGATTGTTTGCTAGCAAGATTGATTCTAGCAGGAATCCGCCATCCAATCTAAATTCTCAGCAAACCCTGTTTCAGCTGATAATCCACCTTCCAAAGTGCTTGTGTTACTGTATAATAATCTTTATGCTTAATCTAATATATTAAAAGCTAATCGTTTTAGAAAAATATTTTTGATGAAGGCAATATTCTTAGACATAGCTATTCATTCAAACAAGAAACAAAAGTATCTTTAATTACTGGCTTTTGGCTTTTTTTATTTTTATTTTCATTTTTTAAATATTTTTTATTGATATCAGAGAGGAAGGGAGAAGAGAGAGAGAGAGAGAGAGAGAGAGAGAGAGAGAGAGAGAGAGAGAGAGAGAAACATTAATGATAAGAGAGAATCATTGATCAGCTGCCTCCTGCACGCCCCACACTGGAGATCGAGCCCACAACCAGGCATGTGCCCTGACTGGGGATCGAACCGTGACCTCCTGGTTCGTGAGTTGATGTTCAACCACTGAGCCACTCCAGCTAGGCTGAGCTTTATTTTAGAAAGTCAACTTTACAGTCTGTTCAATGCTGTTCTGCCGGGGAGGGTTGGGGGGGGCAGTAAGAGATCAACCGAAGGACTTGTATGCATGCATATAAGCATAACCAATGGACACAAGACACTGGGGGGTAGGGGAGGATGGGGGAATGTCAAGGGGGGAAAAAAAAGGAGACATATGTAATACTCTTTGTAATACTTTAAGCAATAAAACAAAATTTAAAAAAATAAAAATAAAAACCAAACAAACAAAAAAACTACTGTACAAAACCAACAATCCTACTTCTGGGTATATATCCAAGGAAATGAAATTACTATCACAAAGATAACAAATAATCAAGCACAGTCCATCCCTTTGTTTTCTCAGCAATTTTATGCACTACTGTTAGCCACATTTAACTCCTGAATAAAGACAATAACAACATAAAAAAAAAGTCAACTTTATATTGATAGGTATAGTATCTTTTTTAAAGAAATAGTTTATTAGCTAGCTACTACTATCATAAGGCATTACACAATACTGTAAGTAGTTGATTTTAGTGGTTCCATAAAATAGCGAAGTGGTTAGTTCCATTGATTGATTCATGTTCAGTTCAAACATCCCGTTAGCAGTTGTCTGTGGGTGTTGCCAACACTGATTCTCATGGGTTTAGAGAGTAGCCAGTATTGGCTCATTTTTAAAGAAAATTTTATATAATTTATATTTTTTGTTGTGTAGTTAATTATTAAGTACCTATTCTCTGCCAGGCCCTGTGCTGCTTACCTGTTATCTTCATTTGGATGTCTAATAGATTTCTCAAATTTAACATATTCCAGATGTAATTTCATCTTTTCTGTTCAAAATTTAAGTCCTATGTCAGTATATGGTATCATCAAATCATCCACCTGCTTAAGCATAAAATAAAATAAAAACAACCAAAAAAAAAAACCTAGAGAAACAAAATATCTATGAATCATCCTTGATTCAGCTTTTTTTTTCATGGCCCAAGTCCAGGCCAGGAGTAAACCCTATTGGTTATTTCCAGCATGTATTTCAGATCTGTCCACATTTCTCTTCTGTCTCATTTAAACACCTAGTTAGTCTAACACCCTGTCTCAGGAATTTCCTCTGTTGTCTATCAGTGTCCTATTGATTTCCCTCATAGCATTAATCACAACGTATAGTTAATTACTCTGCTTACTTATGGTCTCTCCTGCTAGAATGTAAGCTCTCTGACAGTAGGGACCTCATCTACCTTGTCCTCTGGCTCCTTAGTCTCTGGCTGTGCCTTTCACATGTAAGTACATAGTAGGTGTGTGATCCCTTTATTGAAAGGTGGTTGCCTACTAAGTGCTAAACACTCTCTAAGCCAGTGATGGCGAACCTTTTGAGCTCGGCGTGTCAGCATTTTGAAAAACCCTAACTTAACTCTGGTGCCGTGTCACATATAGAAATTTTTTGATATTTGCAACCATAGTAAAACAAAGACATATTTTTGATATTTATTTTATATATTTAAATGCCATTTAACAAAGAAAAATCAACCACAAAAATGAGTTCACGTGTCACCTCTGATACGCGTGTCATAGGTTCACCATCACTGCTCTAAGCCCTGGGAATATATCAGTGGACAAAAACAAAGTCCCTGGACAAAGCCTCAGAGAGCTCACCTTCTTTTGGGTTTAACTTTAATATACTTTCAAAGACACGCCACAACGTACAATTGAGCTCAGGGAGCGAATGGCGTGTGCTAGACCCCCTGAGAGTATGCCTGCCCCAGTTTCTGAAGGATGAGAAGAAGATATATGGGAGGCGGTGGCTCCGTGGACGGGCCAGGCCTTGGGTTGGTATTAGTGTTATACCTCATACCGGAAGAGCAATGTGATACTAAAAAATGAGTTGGGTGTACAGTGGAATTTCATGTAGTCAGTATTTACAAACCACATGCTCACAGTAAAAAATATTTGAAACTGTAAACTCCATAAGCTTTAGAATCCTTTTGTTTCCATTTCTTTGATCTGAAATAGACAAGTAATTTCCTGAAGAATATCTTTTCTTTCAAAGATGCTAACATATGGTTTGTGTTAAAGGGGATTCTTTAGAAGAGCATTACCCTTGTGAAAATAATCGTTCACAGTTACTCCAGTTCGCTGTTTATGGAGAAGTAAAATGTGTTCCAGATGGGGGAGGTTTTACGTAAAATGAATCTCTTGTAATGAAACTTTAAAAACAGGGATTTCAATTTCAAAATGATCATATCAGCAGATACATCTTCCCTCAGAAAGTTTTAGTAGGAAGCACTTTCTGTATTTGCTCAAATCTTTTTTTTCCCAAACTTATTTAACACCTTAAGCGCCCAGCCTGTTTTGTCTTCTAGACGGAAAGTATAGTGTCAGTTACCAGTGACTGACTGGGCGCTTAATGTGTTAAGCCAGTTTGGCAATTCCCCAGTTGATGTACCTTTTGGTAATCTGCTTCCAGTAGTTACAGATAGATAAAGGCTCTGGGTATGCGCCCTCCCACCAGGCTAGCAGGTTACAATGAAAGCAAGCCAGAGTCTGCGCCCTTGCAGAAATAGTGAAGGCAGCCCCTGCTGTCTGTCTTTAGTCCTCTCACCTACCTGACCCTAAAGATGTACTGAGGCAGATGTGACAGAGACAGAACGTGGTCTGAACCAGGCCACCAGCATCTTCAAATAAGTGGCTGCACAGAGTCGTTTACCATAGAGTCTTCTTTCTTTTTCCATTTTAAGTTTCTAATGAAAGTTGTGTATAGGATTACTTTATTCCTGCATCTTCTCAATGGTTTCTTCCTTATACTTGCCCTTCTCCTTTCCTACTTGGTGAGATTTGGCTTTACATTCAGGGTCTTTTTTCGGCCTTTGTCCACCTTTAGTCTTGATAACCAGTGTGTTGGGGTAAACACACGCATGGAAGTTGTACTGTTCACCTTCTTCGCTGCACTCGTTCAGTGTCGCTGGCATAGTTCTTCCTGTAAACCTGGACGACTCTGTTAATTTGCTGCCCTTTGTAATGTCCTTGAGCAACCTGAACCTCATTGTCCTTGTAATGGGCATGGATCGAACGTTGTACTCCTGTCTCAGCTCTTTGGAAAGAGGAGACATAATCTTGCTGTGAACATGGGAAAGTGCATCGAAATGCCTTTTACGGCTCTGGTCAGAAGTCAGAGTGATTAAACTTCATTTTGACTGCTGGCACTTCTGCGGTGGCCACCACTAGAGTCTTAAATACCGTGTTCACACCAGAGTGGGGGATTATCTGTGTATTTCCAATCAGTCCATGTCTCTTAATGCCACTCATTTTATCCCAGGAATTTCTAATATCCATGATCCTAAGTAACAAGGCTACTTAGTTTACATTAGGCTAGGATAACCGAAGCATGTAAAATAGCCATCTGGCTTGTAGGTTAAATCCTAGCTTAATTACTCCTCGAGTGGGTTTTCCCACTTAGGGTCAATAGTGGTCTCTGGAGCAGGGGCGGGGAACCTTTCTTCTGCCCAGGGCCAAGTGGATATTTATAACATCATTCGCGGGCCATACAACATTACCAACATTAGCTGCTATATTCGGTCATTTAATTAACTCACCTCTAATGCCTTGGCAGGGCCAGAGCAAATGATTTCTTGGGTCTTATGAGGCCGAGGTTCCCCACCCCTGCTCTAGAGTGTAGATTTTTAGTGGAGTAACTAACACACATACATAGCACACTGTACTGACGTGTCTTAAAGTAAATTACAGATTTTATAACAACTTTAAATATCAAGTTAGGAAGGGGAAAATATTTTCAAATGAAACAA